TACTCCTCTTGGGCAGGGGGCCTGACGGGGAGGGCCTGGTGTGGGGGGACTGCCTCTGGGTCCGGAACAACCCCTTCCCCACTCCCCCAACTCATAATCCGATTCATATTCCTACTCCCTCCTCTGGACCCGTCACCATGGCAACAGTTTTCTCAGTTGCACTTCATCAGTTTCTCGGCAAATCTTTTTTTCTGTCCCCTCCTTCAATTTCTCTTTATCTCCTCTATCAGTCTGCAATTCTACAAACTCATGGTGCTCACCTTTCTCTTTCTCTCTCAGCTTCTTGGTTTGTCTCTTGCTCTCCATTTGTCCCTGCCCACTTCTGTTCACATCTCCCTTTCTACAGCTTCCCTCCCTTTTCAAGTCTTCGCTTGTAGCAACAAGCTAGAGTCTGCTGGCTAGACAAGAACTTGTGTTCCTTCTGCTATCAGGGCAGAGAAGTGGAGAGTCCTGGAGGGACAGGGTTTGGGTCCTAGTGGCCCTGGACAGAGGTCAGTGATGCAAGAGTGGATGTGAGGTCACATTCATCTGTTCAACTCTGCCCGGGGGGCAGGGAATGGTGGGAAGGGAAAGCAGTATTGGGCAGTTTCTTTTCCGTTGCTCAGACAGAATCAGTGTGGCTGCGGGGGTGTCCTGCAGGGCACTGTCCTTGGTTCATTTCCCAACTTGCCCTCAGAGACCTCACCCAATGCCTACAGCTACCACTGGCATGCAGTGCTGCCCAGACACCTAACTTTAGCTCTGACTTCTCTCTCTCTAAAGTTCCAGTCAGATGTCTCTCGCTGGGGCTGGCCCAGTGGCACAGCAGTTAAGTGTGCACTTTCTGCTTCTCGGTGGCCCTGGGTTTGCCGGTTCAGATCCCGGGTGCAGACATGGCACTGTTTGGCAAGCCATGCTGTGGTAGGCGTCCCACATATGAAGTAGAGGAAGACAGGCACGGATGTTAGCTCAGGGCCAGTCTTCCTCAGCAAAAAGAGGAGGATTGGCAGTAGTTAGCTCAGGGCTAATCTTCCTCAAAAAAAAAAAAAAAAAGAGCTGTCTCTCGCTGCTCACTGGTCATATCCACTGGGGTGTCCTACTCTCATGCCTAACGCCACAACTCTAAACACCAACCCATCTTCCCCAAGCTGTCAGCTCTCCTTGTGCTTCCCTGTCACTACCTGGGGTAAAAGCCTGGGCACTCTGCGCTTCTTCTCTCTCTGTCATCCTCCATATCCAGTTAGAGTCCCAGGTGTATCAGTTCTCCTTTTCAAATGTCATCCGTATCCGCTTCTGTCCCTTTGCCGTCTCATAAACACCACTGGAGACCAGGCAAGTCAGTCTGGGCCCTCACCAGAGCCTCACTTCCCACTTGCACTTCTCCCCCGGGCCGTCTATAAATGTAGTCTCCTCTCAGAAACCAAACCCGTCTTCAACGTGGCTTTCTTCTCCCTCTCCTTCCCCCTCCTTCTTTTTCTTTGTCATTTATTGAGCATCTGTTATATATTAGGCTCTTCATACATGTCATCTCATGTAATCTTCAAAGTAATCTATAAAGTAGGTATTATCCCATTTTACAGGAGAAGAAATTGATGCTCAGAATGGTTACAGTGATTATCCCAAAGTTCTACAGCTACTAAGCAATAGAGTAGGACACAAATACAGATGTTTAGAGTCCAAAGTTAGGGTTTGGTTTTGCTTTTTTTTTTTTTTGAGGAAGATTAGCCCTGAGCTAACATCTGCTGCCAATCCTCCTCTTTTTCTGAGGAAGATTGGCCCTGAGCTAACATCCGTGCCCATCTTCCTCTACTTCGTATGTGGGACACCTACCACAGCATGGCTTGCCAAACAGTGCCATGTCTGCACCCAGCATCCGAACTGGCGAACCCCGGGCTGCCAAAGCGGAACATGCGCACTTAACCACTGTGCCACCGGGCCAGCCCCTAGGGTTTGGTTTTGTTTTTCACTCTACCAGCCTGCTTCCATAAGACTCTTCTACTCAAAAACCTTCCGAGGCTTCCTATTTTCTTATTCTTCCATTAGGCTCATTGTGATCTGACCCCATCCCACCTACAACACCGTGTATCTTGCTACTTCTCAACCAGGAGAACATTTGTGTGCTTCAGGGTTTTGTCTTCATCTTGGTCCTGTTGAATATTTTTATTAACAGCCTATATGAAAATATAGTATCACATCTCACAGATATAAGCCTGGAGGAATAGTAAACACTTTGAAAGACAGGATAAGGATCTAAAAATCATCTGCATGTATAGAATGGCAGGCAAACCTAACACGATGAAATGATCAGGGATCTATGTAAGACCTCAGCAACGCACAAGGGACCAGACACGGCTTAGAAGCAGTTCAGGTAAAAAAGATTCAGGGGTTTTAGTAAGTTCAGTCTGAGTCATCAGCGTAATATGGTTGCCAAAAGCAAATGCAATTTTAAGCCACAGTAATAGAGATATAGTATTTGGAATAGAGGAAAGAATCGATAGTCTTGCTTTGCTCTGTTGGCCAGGTGTCATCGTGGGAGTGACTGTTTGTGGACTGGAAATGTTTAGGCCAGAGAGGAGGAGAAGAGTCAGGAGTCTTTAAAGCATAAATACATGAAGGACTCTCATGGGGAAGAAGAAATAGACTTACGTTGTGTGACCCCAGGAGGTAGTGCATGGACTAATAAGTGGAGACCACTGGGAGACAGCGTTTAGCTCAAAAGAAGGAGAAACAGATGTTCATAAATGGAATGGGCCGCCTCGGGAGGCGGTGAGCTCCCCAACTGCTTGCCAGGGATGTGGGCAGGGAGTTGAGCACCCGAGAGAATCTGAACTAGGCAGCTGGTCTTTGAGACCCTTTCCCACCAAGATCTGCAATGCCTCCTGCTCTTGTTCTTTCTGTGCCCCTCACTGAGCCCTCTGCACTCCCCTGTACCCCAGGGCAGTTTCTTCTTTCTCCACCAGGTCTAACTAAGAACGCAACCTGCACTGATAGCATCGAGTCCACATCTTTTAATTATTCAGCATCTTTTATCATTCTTTAATTGTCTCCATCTTATAAGTTCCTTGAGGGCAGGCACCTGTATTATCTGTTACTAAAAACTTTTTCATCATTGACCGTTCTCAGACTCCCTCTGCCCCGCCTCCCCTCACGCCCGAGATAATTTTATCCTTCACCTGTTGTTGGAAAGCTTGTCTTGGCCTGCTCAGTTCCAGGACTTTGTGATACAGAACTGGGAGAATAGGAGGTGAAAGATAGGACTAGAGAGGCAGGTGAAGGGCAACTTTCTTGTGTGTTAGGGAGAATCTGGGTAATGTGTGAAGGAAAAAGGAAAATAATGAAACCCGAGAGGCTAAGCCAATCCACAAAATAAGGAGATGACAGTGGCAAAGAGAGACAGAAATGGTCTGGTGACTATGGAGGACAGAGAGAGAGGCAGAGAGGGGGCAGATTTGGGATTTGCAGAGAGTGAGTCTACTGCTGCAAGGTGCAGCAGAATAGAAGCGGAAAGGGAATTTTAGCAAGTGGTGATGTAGGTTACGAATTGGATCACCTTCAAGAGACATAGGTAGGGGCTGGTCCCGTGGTGTAGAAGTTAAGTTCATGCACTTCCCTTCAGCAGCCCATGGTTTACAGTTTCGGATTCTGGGCACAGACCTACACACCACTCATCAAGCCAAGCTGTGGCAGTGTCCCACATATAAAAAATAGAGGAAGATTGGCACAGACATTAGCTCAGCACCAATCTGCCTCAAGCAAAAAGAGGAAGATTGGCAACAGATGTTAGCTCAGGGCCAATCTTCCTCACCAAAAAAAGAAAGTGAGAGATACAAGTAAAAATTGGGATTCCTTTCTGAAATTATTTTTGGTATTTGGGGCATGGGACCCCAGAATATATTCAGGTTACATAACATATATTCAGGGTTCTATAACTTTCACAGGATCCAGCATGGTGTCAGGGTGTAGGTGCCCCATTAGGCAGCACCCCAGTCCCTGCAGATGGAATAGATGTGGTCCTGAGGCTGTGGGATCTGGCAAAAAGACTGAAACATTAAGCTTCTTCCCTTACCTCAGAGTTCTACCTTTTAAAACTACTTCCTAATCTGAGATTTCGAGTTACAAATGCCCTAGGAGTTAGAATCTGTTACGTGTCTTGACAGATGGAGAAATGAGGCCCAGCGAAGTTAATCAGCTTGTTGGAAGTCACACAGCAGGCTTTAGGCCTGGCTGGGACTGGGAATATGCCTGGCCCAGGGCTTCATCCACAATCCAGGAATGCCTTTTCAGATTGGCCCAGAAAGTTACATGCATATAAATAGGGTCATGATGAGAGAAAAAAGGGGGGTCTGGAGGCTGGAAGTTCTGAGCACCCCTCCCTCTGTTTGGAGCCCTGCACCAGGCTTTGGGGGACATCCAGATAAGGAGGCCAAGGCTGCCTTCCCAGATCTTATGGCCTCACAGGGAAAGGAGCCAGACATAGGAAGCAGTCCAATGGAAAGTTGGACGCCAGTGCTGCCGTGGTCTCGTGGAAAGAGTCTGGACATGGAATCAGGAGACCTGGGCACCTCTTCCAGCTACCACTCCCCAACCACGTGATTTTAGTCAAGTCCTTTCACCACTCTGGGCCTCAGTTTCCTCAGCTGTGAACCTTCCGTCTCTGAAAAATAAAAGCTCTATAGTGCTACATAGAAGAGTAAGTTAATGCAGTAACTAAAGATATTCTGTGAGTGTTGTCCCCCTGAGGCTCACCCCTCCCAGCACAATCTCAGAAAGGCTCTTGCCTTCAGTTGATGGCAAGAAGTAAACGTTCCCAGGACTCAGAACTGCCAGACCACTTGGGCAGTGAGGAGTAGGAGGTGACGCGTGTGCCCTTCTCTGGGGCCCTGCCTCTGATAGCCTCTCCTGAGCCTAGGAACTCTGACCTCCCCCGCAAGCAGACCAGAGCTCGGTGAGTGTCTTTCTCTCGATACCCCACCCCCCCACTGCTATTTAACTGCTATCTTATCTGATAAAGAGCCTGGAGATAAAATCATCCAACCCTCTTGTTCTACATTTGAAGAAACTAAGGCCCAGAGACAGGGTGTGACTAGGCCAAGGTCACAGACTCTTCACTCTCCCCCCAGTCTTCCTTCTTTTGGGACTGGGAGAATTGATTTAAATGGGTAGTTTGGGAAGGGAGCCTTAGAGCTCTCTCATAACGTGTGTGAGATCCCTTGCTGGGATCTTGTTCTATCATTAAACCTCCAGCAAGATGAACTGTCCGCCTGGACAGAACCGCACCTTAGGCTGCAGTGAGGCTCAGCTCAGATGTGGCTCCCTGCAGGAAACTTTCCAAGACTCCCAAGTCCAGGATAGGCATCTCTGAAGTGCTCCCCAAGCCTTCATGATGCCAACTTGAAGTCAACTGTTCACTTGTTGTCTGTGAGGGCAAGGACCACATCTGTCTTGTTCACCAAAATATACCTATTGTCTAGTCCAGAGCCTGGCACATAGTAGGTCCTCAATAAATATTTGTTGAATGAATAAGTAGGTGGCGTTGGTCAGAGAAGGATTCCTGGAAGAAAAGGCAAACATTGAGTCAGGTGTCACAGCCGGCCAGGAGGACTGAGTTGTCTCTGGTTTGGTGAACTGCCTGTACAAAAGGAAGTCTTATATAGAGGATAATGGGAAACGAGGAGAGAGAGGCAAGCGAGGCAACTGAAGAAAGAAAGGAGAAGAATGGAGCCCCTCAAGATCATGGCCTTTGCTAACCTGGGAGGGCTTCTGAAGAGGGGAGGACAAGCCTCAACCCTGCTGGGGATAAGAGGAAGTGGTTGTGGCACCTAGGATCCCTCAAGAGGAGTCTTTTTATGAGAAGAAACTCGGGGGGCAGCTTGGCTGGTGGAGAGGGAAGCCGAAGGCGGACCGGGTGGATGGTAGGAGCGTTGAAGCCTGGCTAGAGGTTTGAATTTGCTGCTGGGGTCTGGAGGGGGTGGGAGTTCTGGGAAGGCCTGGGGCACAGAAAGAAAAGAAGGTGAGGAGCAGCTCCCTTCTATTGACCCTCTCTATTAGGTTGAGAGCCTGAGAGGACAGGGCCTTCTGTTTTTTCTGGTCCTCCTCCAAGTATCTGGGCACCGGGGACCCACAAGTAGAGTCTCTAGGGCAAGGATCTGGAAGGGGCTGAGGCAGCCTGCGGAGTGGGGATGGCATGGCAGGGATTGTGGGCGCTCCCTCTTCCACCGGCCTTCTCCCACGACTCCCTTTCCCTCCAAAGGTGCTGCTTCTGCAGGAGGAGTACTCCAGCTCTCTCCCAAGTCCTTCTGCCACCAAGCACCACCTGAGCCTAGCTTTTGCCAGGCGACTGCTAAGCCAGATCTAGCCACCAGGGGGCAAAAAAGCAGCCCTTAGGTCGGCTCCCTACGCTTCCCAACCCACACATACCTGAAGGCCAAGATGGGCGTGCCTCACCTGGCTCTAAAGCCTGGTAGCTCCGTTAACCCCTTCCTGCCTAGGCTGAGGTACTTTCCTCAGGTAGTCACTCACAGCGGAATTGGGGGTCAAATCTGATGGGGGAGGGTGTGTTGCCTAGGAGAGGGGCTAGGGTGGAGGTGAAAGCAGAATTTCCCGTTACTCAGGCCCTTGTCCCAGCTGGAGCTGGGGGAGGCTAGCATTCCCTGTCTCAGTTGCATAGCTACCCCACGCGCCCTCGTCCCCCTTCCCCCTCCCCCCCCCCCCCCCGCCCCGCGGATGGGTGAAGGAGCCCCCTGGAGGCAAGAGCAGCATGGACTGTGGTGACCTGCGCTGGGCCTCACAGGCGGGATGTAGAGACCGCTGAGGCAGCCACAGAACCCAGACTTCCGGGTTCCCTGCAGCCTTGAATCTATCAGGGGCCTTTGCAACAACTAGTGGGTCGGGTGTGTGTGTGGCGGGGGGGGTGGGGGGGGGGTGGGGGGGGTGGCTAAAGAGTGGAGGGAGCGGCACAGAGGGTTGGGGGTTGGGGGAGGGCAGACAGTTAAGACTTGGCAGGAGATGGGACTGGATTACGCTGCTCTCAGGTGCCCGGTTTCGTGTTGCTCCTTGAGTACCAGGCAGCCTTCCAGGGCTCTGACCAGCCCAAGTTCTGAGATTGCGTTCCGGACCACAACGTGTTAAACTGTGGGTGGGAGTGAGGTCGGGAGTCCCTCCCTTCTTCCCTTCCTCTCGGCGTCACCACCTCGGAGTCCACCAGGCTGGCAAGCAAGGAGTTAAGTCTGCCCGCAATCTGCAAGACTGGAGCCGGGGAGGGGAAGGAGGGGGAAGAGGAGGGGGCAGAGAAGGAGAAGGGGGAAGCCGACTGCAGGGAGACAGCGCCAGGAACCCCCTCCCCAGGGACCTGGCCCCTGGGCCCCCAGCCCCAAAAGAGGCCCTGCCCTCCCCGGGGTCGTGCTCTCTTCCCCCGCCCTGCCCCCGCCCTCCAGCTTTGTGTCCCCAGGAGGGTGGGCTGCAGGATTTCCAGCCAAGCCTTGGCTGCCTGCTCAGTTTTTCCAAACCCTCCAGTCGGGGAAGGCGGGAGCCCTGTCAGGATAAGAGTCCTTCCCCCACTGCCCCTGCTGGCCCCCTCTCCCAGCCTCCCTTTGCTTGCCCCCGCACCTTTTCCAAACTCCTTTCCCTTTCAGACCGTGGCCCCTGCGCCCCCTATCCCCACCTTTATTGGCTCCCAAGTTCCAAGTTCAGGTTGGAGGAGCCAGGTGGGTCCCACAATCATGGAGTGGTGCTGTTGAAGCCATACTCCGCAGACCGACCCTGAGACCTGCTGGGCGCCAGCCCGGCTCGCAGCCTGGCGCCCGCCCCATCCCAGGACACGGCCCAAGGGCCACCAGGGAAGATGGCCCAGAGGTCTCCCTCCCCGGTATGGAGGCGGTGCTGGGGGGCGCCGGCAGAGCCGGGCAGCAGGCTCTGTGCGGCTGGTGCCAGGCTGTGGGGCAGGCTTCGAGGAGGGGGAAAGTGTTCCGAGCGCTGGCACGGTTCTGTCCAGCAGGTCTATTATATAATAATCACCATCTATCAGGAAGCCAGGCAGCTGGAGTGGGGAAGCCCAGGATGCCCGGATCCGCTCCTCCTTCATGGCCCGGGAAGCTCTCTCCGCCAAGATGGGGGGGTGTGGGCGCAGCCCAGAAGTGAAATGATGTGCGGGGTCGAGGGGCAAGTGAGGGGCGCTGGGCAGTCCGAAAGCGGCCCCGCAAACCCCACCCCCAGAACGCTGACTGACACAGCCCTGAGCCAATGATTGAAGTCACTGTGGGGCTCAAAGTTAACCCTTTCTTGGTTCCTTAGTTGCTTGAGGATCCCTTTCCAGGAACATTTCTCCGGTTCTGAATCCCTCTCACCTGCACGAGGCCCATGAGGAGTAGCAGCTGGAGGACCCTTGCGTCCTAGTCACCCCAGGAAGTGATCTCAGACAATCAGCAGCCCTAGTGCCTCACCCCCACCCCCACCCCAAAGTAAATTGTATTATGAGATGTGGCTGTGTACGTACACCCTGTGGTTCCAGAAACAGGCCCGCGTGGCGCTGGCACACCCACAGTGCGCCACGAGCAGGCACCCTCGCACACCTATACCCATGCCAGCAGTTCGACCGACACTCTCGAACACACCTGTGACACTCCTCGCGACACACTGACACACACATAAACGAAATACACGGTGGTTCCCCGAGTTCGCCAGTAGAGGGAGCCGCCCGATTCCAGCAGCGGGCCGCCGGCCTCTCTCCCCATCTCCTCCTTGCTCACCCTGGGGTTCCACCCAGAACTCGTGGCTGCCCAGAGCAGAGCTCCGCATCCCAACCTAGAACCTACGCTGGGGGAATGAGTCACAGCCCCACCCAGGGGAGCAGGCTACATGACTGCTCCACAGGACATGCTGAATATGCTTGAACTTCCTGTGTACCACATTTGAGAGACCCCTTGCAACACAGCCACCACGCACCCCTACAAATGTTGTTTTCTGGACCTACTATGAACCTGGCATTGTGCTAAACGGATGTAACAAGCCCATGTGGCTTGTCATGTATGTAACGAGAAGACTGATCCACATAAATAAGGTGGACCCTTCCTTCTAACAAGCATCCTGTTTGAGACATGACCCTCTTGCCTTGTGGCTCATATTATACCTGCAACACCCTGGAGAGGGGAGAGGAAAGTAAAGCCCACTTCTATGGGTCTGGTATTATCCTAGGCTCTGGGATTTTTCACACCAGAGCTTAGCCTCCCTGGGCTTCAATTTTCTTTTCCTTTAAGTGGGAATAACACCTACTTCCCAGCATTGTGGTGATTCAGCCCCGAAGCCAGTTCGTGGTTAGCACAGCAGTTAGTAGGCACTTGGGTAAGTTTTGTTGACTGGATCGAAGCATGATGGAGAGAGAATGTGTACGAAAATGCTTTCTAAACTGTGATGTGAGGCACCCTCAGGGGTTACTATGTTATCTTCTTTCAGGGTTTGCCCCCTCTCTCCACCTGTGCCCTCCCAGACCTTGCCCTGTGCCCAGCTGCTGGCACCATCAACCCATCAAGTGAGTATTTGCATTACTGAAGTCCTACTATGAACCCAGCACTTGAGTGCTGTAGGAATATAGAGGCATAGGAGGTATGGTCTTGGCCCTCAAGAATCTTTTGGGGGCAACCAGACATATATAGGAGAACCAAGAGAAAACACATAAGTAGGTACTCGGTTGGGTGGCATAGATGTAACAGGTGGTCAGAAGAGAGGGAGGTCAGTGAGGGCAGGAGCTTTCTGGGGACCATCTATGAGGAGGGGCAGGGGGGAGAGCAGAGGAATCAAACAGCAGGAGCAAACGAGCTGGTTAGTGCCCCTCCTTTCTGATGCAGTCCATGCTTGTTACTTGTTAGTATTGATTCTGGGTGGGTGGGGGCAGTGGAATACAGGGAAAGTGCCCTGGGATAAGGAGACCCAAGTTCTAGTCCTGGGCATACCACTTACTAGCTGTGTAATCCCGAGTAAGTGCTTAACTAATGCAAGCCTCCCTTTCCTTACCAGTGTAATGGGGCCATAACATCTTTCTCATAGCTTTGTGGTAAACATTGAAATAATATATGTACAGTGCTTTTCAAAAGTGCTTTACAATTTCTTCTTCATTGCTTCTACCCTCCTATAGGGTCTGTGTGTGTGTGTGTGGGGGGGGGGGGGTGTCTATGTGTGTAGCACTTTGAGGTTAGGAGAGAGTTCTTTTGAGAAGACAAAGGTTTCAGTTCCACAAACATTTTCTTAGCATCCACTTTGCGCTGCTGAGGATTGAGATGAAAAAATCCAGTCTATGTCCTCAAGGACCTCATGGTCTGCTAGGAAAGAGAGATGAATAAAGAGATGCTCAGTGCACAATGAATGTGGGTGGGTACACTGAAGAGGGGATCCAGTACTCTGTGTGTGTGTGTGTGTGTGTGTGTTGGGGGTTGAGGGAGTCCAGGCAACTCCCACTCTTTCCAATCAGTGTAGACAGGAGGGTAGGTAGTCAAACCTCTCCCTAGCCTGGGATGTTGTTGGCGCCTCTCCTCCCCAGTCTTCAGGAATGGGGAGGAGAGACGGATAGAAGCCCCCTCCCCGCCCCTGGGCCAACCTGCCTCCCGCTAGCCGGCCGGCGCCTTACCGAGTCAGACCACTGGGAGGCTGGGGGAGCCGGGTTGGGCGAGGAGGCGAGCGAGATGGGGGAGCTCTTATTTTGACAGGGGCCTCTCCGGGCTCTGGTATGAAGGCAGAAGGAGGCAGCCAGAGAGCCCCGATGCTTATTCAGGCTGGGGAGAGGAGCCGAGTGGAGGGGCGAGCGAGGCTCCGGCAGCGCAGGGGAGCCCGGGGAGGCGGCGGCGCGCGGCGGAGCCAGTGGCCGGACATGCCCCGGACTCGGGGCCGCTGCACCACAGCCGCCGCCCGGAGCCAGCCGGCCGGACGCCGACACGCCTGGGTCCCCCGGCGCCGCGCCACCCGGGGGCTGCTACCCGGACCCTCGGCGTCCGACCAACAATAAGCGCCCAGACAGCCCCCTCCCCGCCCCGCGCCCGCCGTCCCCGCGGGCCCCGGGGAAAGTGAAAGGAGGAGGCGAAGGAAGGAAGGAAGGAAGGAAGGGAGGAGGAGCGGGAGCCCGAGCCGTGAGGTTCGGGGCCGAGACCCCAGCCCCGAGCCCCGGGCCGGGCGGGTGTGCGCGCTCTCCCGCCGCTGCCCCGCGCCCACGACCATGCTCCGCGGTTGGGAGGCAGGAACCCAGGCGCCCAGCGACCCCCGGAGACCTCCCGGGCCGGGCTGGTATTGAGACCAAGGCGTCCAGGATCAAAAGATCACCGCCTGCCCGCCCCCCTCTGCACCTCCAACTGGCGAGCAGGAGGACCCCAATCCACCCACCGACCCTGACCTGGTCATGGCGTCCAGCTCCGGCCTGGCGTGAGGACCCCCGACCCGCGTGAGGTGAGGGGTGGGCTGGGGCTGAGGGCGAAAGTCATGCCAAGGCCAGCAGAGGCGCGAGGAGGGAGATCTAGTCTGAATTGGGGAGGGGGAACCCAGTCTGTCTCTTGCCTTCTGGCACGCACCCCCAGGCTGTTTAAGGGGTGGGGGCGCCCCCAGTGTTAGTGGAGGCTACTCTCGGTCCCCCAATCAGGTTGGCAGCCCCAGAGCACAGGGAGGAGGGCTTAGGGGAAGCCAGGGGACCCTGACACCCTAGCGCAGAGAACAAGGCCGGCCTTGGGCCAGCTGGAGCAGCAACTCTGCCCTGGGGGCTTCTGGGAAATGTAGTCCCCCTCCCAGGCTCACCAACCCCTTGGGTCTCAGCACCCCAGCACTCCTCCCCTGGCTGATGGGAACCTCCAGAAGGAGGTGCATTGGGATTGGGGATTGCTGGGGCTCACCTTCTGCTCCCAAGCACTGCCTCGGAGCAGCAGGGGCTGTGACTGGAGAGTCTCCCCTGCTAAAGATTCTTAATGGTGTGGGCTTGGCTGGGAAGTGGGGCAGTCACACAGTTCCTTGGAGGTGTCCCTGCACCGCTAAGGGGAGGTGGCCCCTGCCTTGGTCCCAAGGAGCCCAGTGGGGAGGAGTGTGGGGAAGAGAAGTGAGGCTTGGGGCTTCTTGCTTGGCTGGGGTATGTCTTGTCCCAGGGCTGCTGGAATTTGGTTTCAGGAGAGACTGAGGTGTACTCTGCCCTTCTTCGCCTTGGGAGCTGAGAAGGAGAGTGTCCCTCACAGTCTGGGAATCTGGAGGTGTCTCTCTGGAGCAATGAAGCCAGGATCAGCTTCTGTCTGTCTGTCCAGCTTCCTTCCTTCCGGGTTTTTCTGACACCCCCTCCTCCCTCCTCCTTCTGTCTGTCTGCTGCTTGGGGTGTGTGTCTGTGTCGGGGGGAGCCTCTGCTGCAGGGAAGAAAAGTGTTGCTCTGGGAGAGGTGAGCTGGGCATGTGACTGAGCCCTGAGAAAGGGGCTTGGAGGCCCCCTTGGTCTTTGGCCTCGGTTTCCTGTTTTACCTAGGAAAGCTGTCTTAGTGCTGTATCTGCTGTAACCCTACTGATGCCTCTGGGCAGCTCTCCGAGTGAGACCTCCATGGTGGGTGGGCTTCCATTCCCCTTATTCTCCCTCCTCCTCAGCCTCTCGAGGGAGCAGCCACTTCTTCTGGGCTAGGGCTGCCTGGCTCCTCTGCTGCCCCTCCAGCTCTGCCTTCTCTGGGTCAGGACCACGATTTCATGGCCTCAGGGGAAGAGCACTTTCAGGCCCTGTCTTTCTGGTGTCAGTTCTGAGATGCCTGCTGATAGAAGCCTCGGGACAGGGTGAGAATGAGAGAGGAAGGTGAGGGGCAGGGGGAGTCTGGTGCCAGGAAGGAAGGTGCTTCCTCCCCAAGGTGATCAGGCTCCTTGGCCTTGGAGAACCAGGCCTGAAGGGCTAGTAGCCTCTGGCCACCTCCCTCTAGAGGCTCTCTGCTTACCTGTTTTGCTCCTGAGTGGGGAGGCGTGGGGGTTAATCTTGGAAAGGGTGCTGGTGAGAGGTAGAATACCTCTAATCTTGGATCTAGAGTAACTCTTGTGCTCAGGGTAGCAGGAGCCCATGGCTGAAGATGGGTTCTAGAGATCCATATGGAGGCTCAAAAGGAGTCTCTAATTACCGGGGCTGAGGGTCCAGGTGGGAAGAGATTACAGCATCCTGGAGAAGGATCAGTGGTTCATGGACGTCTAGGACTAGCACAACAGTGGTAACGTGGGACCTAGTGAACTTGCTTACTGAATTCGTGTTGAGCATCTACGACTCCGTCTGGGTAGTTCCTGCCTCCTAACTTTTGGGTCCCTGGGTTAAGCAGGAGCCCTGGGCTGGGGACTCAACTTCCATGCACAGACAGGGCAGTAGCCTTCTGGGCAGAGGCCTAGTGGGTGGCAGTGTCGACTCAGCAAGGGCTGGAATGCCTGGCACCTGCTTTAGATTAAAGGAGATGCCTGCAAAGGGGGGCTGCCTGCCTGTGGGGGGAGTGGCTGGGATGGAGCTCCGTGGAGCCCAGGAGTGGGGTAGAAGGAAAGGACCAGGGTTGCAGGCAGCAGCAGCTCTGGCAGGAGTGGAGGGAGCCAGCAGTCATCCAGCTCTGCAGCCCCTCCTCCAAGGAGTCTAAGACAGGAGCTGGGGGCACCCCCACACTGCCTCTAGCACCACAGGCTAAAGTTCTGTCCCAGCGCCCAGGGGGGCAGCTGCAGGGAGCCAGGGTGTCTGCGTGTTCAGTCTTCCCAGGACTGGAAGAGGCCTGCAAGGAGGTGGGGGGCACTTTGGGGTTCTTGTTGCCTTGAGGCCCTGTGTCCTCTTCCTGGGACTCCTTGTTGCTGGCAGTGAGGCACCCCTAGAGCCTAGGCACCCATGGGTGTTGGGGAAATGGCATCCCTTCTTATGCCAGGAATCCTGGACACTGCCCGGGTGCTGACCTGGGGGGAGGAGACAGAGGGGATGGCACCGTGGGAAAGTGGGCAGCCGTGGGAGCCAAGTGGGTACAGGCTGGGTGCCGCGGGCAGGGAGCCTCTGCCAGGCCTGCTCTCCCTGGGGTGGGGCTGGCTGTTCCAGGGACTGGCTCAACCTGTTGAGCACCTGGCTGCTCTAGCTTGGCATCTGTACCCCTGCCTGGCAGCCCTGCCAGCTGCCCACCCATAGCCACACTGTAGGGGCTGCCCCCAGGGATCTGGGGAAAGGAGGCTCTGACTGGCAAAGGGGCCAGGATGGGGATGGTAGAGGCTCCTCCAGAGAGGCTGTTTCCCCAGGTTCTGTCCTCTCCAGAGCTGGAGCTGGAGCCAGTAGGAGGGCCAGGCAGCCAGAGGCTAAGAGGGGCTGGATGAAGAAGGCCACAGCATCAGGGCTCCTGAGGTGCTTTAAGTCACTTGGATGGGCGGCCCTGAAGGCAGCCTGGAGTTACAGCCTGGAATTTCCTCTGCTGGGTGCCAGGGCCAGGCCTCCAGAGCCCCACCCCCAGCCTGGCCTGACCTCCCCTCCCTGGGAGAGGACTGCCGACTTTCCCTAGGGGTTGGGGGAGGGGCAGTAAGGGCATTCTGCTGCCCTGGGAGGAGAGAGGTGACTTCCTGGGTGCGGGGGGCGGGGGGAGGTGCTGCAATGTCTCAGTCTCCCGCAGGGCCCCCACTCTCCATGGGGAGGGGGAAGTCCTGGGTTCTCAGGGAGATGTCCCCCACCCTGCCCTGAGTATGGGGAGTCCTGGGTCCCATGGAAGATCCCTGACCCCTGCAGGCCCTTGCCGTCCTCTCATACCATCTGACCCCTTAGCTTTAGGTCCACCTTGGGGCTCTGCTAGCCAGTGGGGAAGGGGAGCCAGGATGCTCCTCTGTAGGGAAAAAGGTGGTCACCACCGCCCGTGAGTGGGGGAAGTGGGCACAGGCAGGTTCCCCCTTCCTCTCAGTCCTGACGGGGAGGGTGGTCTCCCTTGCCTTCTCACCTTTCCAGTCAGGGGCAAAAGCAGAGGCATCTCATTTTTTGCCTCCTTTCCACCCCAGGCTCTCCCTGCTTGGCCCTGGGCCGTCTGCCCCTCCTAACCTTGGTGTCTCTTCTAGTCCCCCTTCTCTAGGGGCTGGGACTCCCTCTGTCCAACCCCCTCCTCCAGTGGGCTGGTGGCCCCGGGCTGGTGGCCCCGCGCTGCCCTGTCTTCCCCCTCCCCCTCACTCTCCACCCCCGCCCCCCAGCCTCAACTGGGAATGGCCCTGAATCCAGCATTTCCAGCATTTCGAAACCAGGATTGTTTTGAAATCCCTGAGTACTTCTCCACCCGCCTCTGACTCCCCTCCTCCCCACTAGGCCAGAATTTAGTCCTCTCATCTGACTTCATGCTGCGCATTGCCAGGGTGTGTGTGTGTATAAGTTTGTGCGCTAGCACATGGCCATACGAATACTACTGTGAGTGTGTGTGTGTCCCAGTGTGGGTGTATCCTCTGTCTGTCAGCAGTTCTCTGTGACTGGCCGGTGTCCTTTGTATTTTCTGAGCTTTCCTGGGCCGCCTCTACAAGTTTAGGAGCCCCTAGGGGTCTTAAGGAGGCACTCTTGGGACGTTCGGGGTTATTTTTAGGAGGTATCTTGGATGCGTGTCTTTGGGACTTGTATCTGTCTCTTAGTTGCACATGTCTGGGAGTACCTCTGAGGAGTGTGTGCGCCCGGGTCGTGCCTCTTTGATGAGTATTTGTGCGTGTGTGCACACATGCGTGCTCTCTGCTTCTGTTCCCGCCTCTCTCCTTCTCCCTTGGAACATGTCTGGGGTGTGTAGTCACAGGTCTCTCTGCAGCTCCCTGGGACATGGAGTCCTTTGTCCTTTGATAGGGAGGTTTCCTGGAGTGGGGCCAAGGCTTCTGGCAGTTCTGCAGTCCTTGGAGAGAAAGTGGTGGAGTGGGGAGACTTTGGGATAAACTGTCCCCAGGGTCGGCTGTCTTCTTCTGCCCCTCATGGACACCCAGCACCTTGAGGGATCCCAACACTACCCACCAGTCCACCCTCATCTTGTCCTGATGATACAGTGGTGGCTGTCATAGGCAGGCTGAGTGCACTCTAAAGGAAAGGGCTGGGGAAAGGGAGTTCGCTCTCCACCCCTGGGGGCACTTGCTTCATTGGGAACAAGGAACAGCCAGCCACATTAGACCTGGGAGCTTGGTGGCTCATTTATGTTCAGAAATGTTGACTTCTCTAGCTAGGGGCAGACAGCAAAACAGGACAAGACACTCATATTTCCAGCCTGAGCAGAAGACACAGGGGCCTGGAATCCTAAAGGGGTGATGTACCACCCCAGAAATATGAGGCATTTGGGGTGGGGCCAGCTGCCATTGTAGCCTTGATCCTAGAAAGTCCTTGATGTTTAATCTCATTCTTTCCTTCTGCAGTTAGACGGTGTTCTACAGGAGAGGAGGTTGCTAGAGTGTTTTTGTTTTTTTGTCAAAGCAAGAGTGGTGATAGCAAAGTTATGTCTGCATGGGGTACAGGCACTGGAACCCCTGATATCTCGCTATGACTCAATTTCCCAGCCTGGGATCTCAGGCTATAATTGAATGCTTTCCTCTGGAAGCACTTGTGGCCATCAGTGAGGAAGAAAAGGGCTGGGGCAGGGGCTGTTTGTTTGAGTCAAGGGCCTGAGGAGACAGCAGCAGGAGGTGGGCAGAAGGATGAGATGTCCCTTCTACACTCCCCCCACCCATGGCCTCTGGTCCCAGGACGCGGTAGGAGGGAGGGAGGGAGGGAGGGAGGGGTAGAGGCACAGGTTGGTACAGTGCTCAGTGACCCAGCAGGGGGAGGGCCTTGGCAAGGAATTTTCAGTTTGTTTCTCAATCTCTGAGACACGCACACACACGTCACTGCAGACACCTTCAGGAGATGAGCCCAGAAAAGTCACTCAGGTGGTGGTAGGGCAGGGCGGTACCAGATGGGGCCATGTGGAACAAGCCGCATTCTGGCAGACGCCCAGGACTTACCCATTAGAACTGAAAGTTGAGCCTAACCGGAGGTCCCCTTCCCAGCTCCCCCATCCTGGGCCTGAGAGCAACACAGACTGGAGAGGGTTAAGTCTGGTTGGCAGGGACACCCCCCCCCCACCCCCAGTGCAGTGAGAGAGAGAGGGAGGGGTGGTTAGCAGCTTGCTCTAGTTGGCGTCTCTCCCAGAATTCTTCGGAAAAGAACTCCCCTTTGACCCCCAGTACAAACTGAGCCCAGCCACCAGCCTCGCTCCCGCCTGCCTGCCTGCCTGTGGGAGCGTCCCCCAGCCCCCTTCGACTGAACTGCTAAGCTTGATTCTCCCTCCCCCTTGGCCTTCCCAACCAGGCTGCGCCCCCCAGGACTTTGCATCTTCAGGGGACAAGGGGTGTAGCCAAGGAGACCACACAGGTACATAGGACCCACACCATTCTTCTCCCTGACATAGGATAACCCTGGGGGTGGCTGGTGCTGGAAGCTGGGGTCCTCAGGCCAGGTCGTGGGAGTCATCCACCCCTTCTCTCCCTGTGGGGCCTAGCTCTGAGGGAGCTCTAGGCATCTTCCAGTGCCTTCTCCTTTCCTGCTTCCAGGATAGCGAGGGGGAGCAGTGCGGTGGGGCAGCTGGGTCAGGCCTGGCTCCCAGCCAATCCACAGAAGTCCTGGAGGGGGGGTGGTGTCCGAGTAGCTCAGAGACTTCCTGGAGCTGCAGGCTGTGTGTATGTGTGTCCGTGTTTATGTGGTGTGCGTGTTGGGGGTGGGGCTGGGGCTATGGGAGGGGCAGGGGCATAGATTGCTGGCCTGGGGCTTCTAGCTGTGACCCTCTCTCCACAGGGAACCCCCATCCCAGACCACACCCTTGAGCCTGAGCCCGACACACATTATTCCTGAGGTGAGAGGTCCGTGTGCTTGTGTGTGTCCTCTGCAGCCTCCTTGCTGATCTCTGTCTGCCATAGCCGCCTGCTTGGCTTTTTGTCTTGGGCGCCCTCCTCCTGGCTTTCTGCCCCCACTTCTCCTTTTATTCTCCTCCCCGCAAAGGAGGGGGGACTAACAGCCTTACAACCTGGAACCTGGGAGAGAGTGGGGGCGGGGCAGGAAGGGTTAAAGGGCCACTCCAGTGAAAATCCCAGCCTTCTTAGCTGGATCGTTTCCCTGGGGTGGGAGGTGGGGAGCTCCTGCCCAGTCACCCCTGGAGGGCAAGGTGCGATTTCCTGGTCATCTCAAGTACTTGCTCCCCCTCGACAGGGGCTTTGGCCTCAGCTGTGGTTTCTGCCCTGGCCCCTAGACTCATGCACACACACATACACACAGGCTCTCTCCCTACTGCCACCCCCCTCCTTCCCTCCCTCCCCTCCTTCCTTACTTAGCAACAACTCCCTGAATTCACAACAAACACACCCGTATGCTCCTGGTCCGACTAGGGAAAGCTGGAGAAAGCCGAGGACAGGGAGGAGGCACTGCTCTAGACTGTCCTCAGGAGAGAGGCACTTCTAATCCCCCCACCCTCCCTGCTGGAGGCCACTACCCCTCAGGGACAGGGAGGAAGTGGTCATGCTTCCAACTCAGACAATGAAAAAAGTGGGGAGCAGTGACAGGTGTGGCTGAGGAGGTTGGGGGGCAGGGCTTGACTCCGCCCCACACTAGTGAGTCCCACTTGACCTTTGACCCCCACCTGGGGAGTAGGAGGGGCAGCAGACTCCTCTCCAGCCCTTGGGCCTCTCTCAGCAGGGGCCCTGTGCTGTTGTCATGGTAACTTGCCCTGCTCCCTCCCCTGACTCTTAGGGACCAGGATGGGTGAGGATATAACGGATTGGTCTGGGCGGGGCTGGGGGGTGCGGCCCAAGAACTTTGCTCTCAGAGCACCAACCTGGCAGGGCACCGGTGTTGAGGGGGTGGGGCATGGTGCCCTCTCTTTGATCTCGTCCCTGGGCAGGAACTATGGCCTCCTGCTAGGACATGGCACACATCAGGCCTGGAGGGAATGTGTGCGGAATGAGTGAGGGAGGCACCTCTTCTTTTGTCATAGCACAGAAGGCTGATACCAGGGTGAATCTGTCTTTTGAAATGGTTGAGAACCCAATTGCCGGAGTGTCTGGGTTCAAATCCTGACTGTTCTAATTCTGGACTGTGTGTGCCTTAGGCAAGTTATTTAACTTCCCTGTGCCTCGCTTTTCTTATCTGTAATGTGGGGATAATAAGAGTCATTTCTTATAGCGTTGTTCTGAGGTTTAAATTAGATAATGCCTGTGAAGCATCCAGGACAGCTTCATGGTACAGAGTAAAGGCTCAATAAATGTTAGAGATCCTCCTCATTATTATTAGTCATAGCTCTTCACAGGAACTGTTGACCTCCCAGGGGCTTTAGCAGGGGAAGAATTGATGGGGGTGGGAGGAGTGCGGGGGTGGGGAAAAGACTACCTTTCTAGCACTTCAGACTCCTGGATTCTAATACCCTTCCAGACTCACCTTCTTGCTGCCTAGTTTCCCTGCTGTTGGTGCTGGCTGACACCTTGATGGCAAGTTTGCCAAATAGCCATGGGCCTGGCGAGGGGCCTGGGGGACTTAGGACGGTCTCCCTTCCTATCTTCCAGCACTTCTCAGGGCTGAGTCCTCCCTCCCCCAGGCGGTTAGCTCAGATCAGCTTCAGCACCCCTCCCACCATCTCACCCCTGCTGCTCTGTTCTTTCAGCAGGCTGAACAAGACATTCTGTCCTTAAATGGCTTAAATGGCCTCCTCCTCTCCTTCCTGGCCCAAGGGGTCAGGGGCCTTCCTTGGGGAGAAAAGTGGCAGTGTGGAGCTGTGACATAGATGGCAGCTGTTAGACCTGCCTCAGGGCCCAGGGTTCCCTGATTCCCTATACTTTGCCTGGGCATTTTCCCTGAGTGTGGCAGGGCAGTGCCCAGGCCTGTGATGTGAAGCCCACATGGGCACGCTTGGCACCTGCTGCACACAGATGGGCAGGGAGGAGGCATCCTGAAGCCCAGAGGAGGAGTGGGGTCACATCAGCATCCATGGTGTCCAGAGGACACCCCCAGAATCCTTTCCTGGGCTGCCTGGGTGAGTGTGGGCAGTGCTGGAAAAAGTTCTGCTTCAGCCCTGTGTGCCCTGGGGCAGGGCAGGGAGAATGATGAGTGACAGCAGGTGAGCAGGGCTCCTAACAGCCCTGGAATGGGAGTGGGATGGTGGAAGGGCTGAGGCTTGGGCACTTCTGCGTGAGGAGCCCAGGAGTGGGCAGCAGGGAGAGGGTGCCCACAAGGAGGAGAGCTCTGCAGACAGGTGGTCTGGATCTTCTGGGGAGTGAAAGCGCAGATCTCAGGAGAAAGTTGATTCAGATGTGGCAGAAGTGCCTGGGATAACAGGGCTCCTAGTCTGAGGCCTGGGCTTGGCTAGCAGGTACCTTCTCTGCCCTGGCACCAAGAAGGGAGGGCTGGAGCACCTGGCCCTACTTACCACCTCCTTCTGGAACCCGAAGGGACCCCTCCCTTCCATGGGCCTGGCACTGAGGGCTCAGAGTTGGCCTGGGCCGTGCCCCCCTGCTGGGCTGGCCATGCCGCCTGTGCCCAGCCCCTGGGGCCTGTTCCTTGGGCAGGCTGGGGCTATTTTTGGGATCGGGCTGGGGCTCTGGGGCTGGTTTCAGATGTTCCAATGTGAACAGGAGAAAATGGGAACAGATGGCTGGAGGGTTCCAATCAGCAGGTCCTGCTGGGAGCAGGTTATTTTTAGGGCCTTATTAACCCTTTTGAGGCCAGTGGAGCCACCCTGAGAGGGATAGCCCTCTCTAGTTGAGAAGAGAACAGGTCTTCTCCCTGGACCCCTACTTTCCAGAACTGCATGTCCCATTTGTTCTTTTTCTCTCTCAGACCTTCTACTCTTTAAAGAGATTGATGGCAGGAAAGTAGGCGTCAGTTTCCTTCTACCCCAGACCCTGCAGGGAGACTGCCAAGAGGTCAGGCAGGGAGGGGTGCCTGGCGGAGGGGTGCCTGCAGGCCACCGTTGAAGGGAAACTCCCCTTCACTTGCCTCCTGGGGTTTTGAGACACAGACCTGAGGCTAAGAGGGTAAACAACCTCTCTCCAAGTGCACGCTCTGGGGTTGAGTGTATGTCGGTAAACCCAGTGATGCCCAGGGGAGTGCTAGCTGAGGGAGGAGAGCAGAGGAAGAGCCAAGTCTTTGTGCTTGATACTACTAATATCATGCCCAATGGATAGCACATTATCATCATTCTCATGGATACTCCAAAGGCACATAGCTGGACAATGCCCCCCTTTACCAAATGCCCGTGTGTTTGGGTGCCATGCAGGGAGGAAAGCAGGTGACATTATGGCCAGAGGTACTCTGTTGAGGGCTGAGTATGTCATAGGCATTCTGTTAGATAGTTTCATTAACAGTATCTCACTCTATAAATTTATCCTCATCTCGCAGGTGAGGAAACTGAGGCCTGGAGGGATGAAGGGCTGGACAAGGTCCCGTGCCTCACAAGGGGCGGGATGTGATTGGCACCTGCCTGCCCGACTGCAAACCCATTCTCATTCCACTGCCTCACTCACACACTGCCTGCCAGTGTCCCAACCCCACAGGGCGAGGCTGCCAGGGCACCAGACCTCAGGGGGCAGGTTTATGGAATGAGTGTGGGAAAGGAGGCCTGGGGGCAGGGGACCCTGCCTGTCACTGCTCTCACAATCCCCTAATCCCTTCTTGCCTGAGGGTGCCAGGACTGACACCAGAAACCCATTTGGCCTTCCTGACTTCCCTACAGGAGGATCACAGGCATATATCCTGTCTGGTCAGCCCCCACCCCCACCCCATCCTGGCCCACATGCCCCTCCTTCCTGTAGGGTCATGGCAGTCTGGATGTCAACGTGGGCAGAGCTTGAGGGCCCTCCAGGTGCTGCTGATGCCAAGAGTTTGGGCCAGGCAGGCGAGGTGAGGGGGCTGGGAGGATGTCTCCACTGCTGGCAGTACCTGGGGGAGAGAGCAGAGCTGCGGGCAGGCGGGCGTTGGGTGAGGTCCCGCCCCACGGTGCGCTGGCTGTGCCAGCAGTCTGCCCGCACTCCACTCCTCCCACAATGGCCCCATTGTTCCCAGCCGCCAGGCAGTTTGGAGGAGGTTCCTAGGCCACCCTAACCACCCCCCAAACAGGGGCCAGATTAACCCGTTGGAGGACAGAGGCCAGGTGAGGGCCCAGGGGGAGCTCCCTGCCCATTCTTCCCTTCTGGGAATCCAGGCTTGGGAAGTCACTTCTACCCACGTGTACCCAGCCACAGGGCACCTCTGGAGATTGGGGTCTCCCACAGGGTAGAAAGTAGCACCTAGACCCTTGCCCACCCCCACTGTGGTGCAGGTGCCAGGGGGCAGGAAGTGCCAGTGGGGTGGCAGGCGGAGACCAGATATATTTGGGCCGGTGGGGCTAATTCCAGCCACCACCGCCTGCCCTACTGGCTCCTGAGCTCCTTTCCTTCCTGTGAAACCAGAGCTGGGTTGGGCCTAGCTCAGGATTTCGGTGGATTTAAAGAGGCAGCACCATCCCTGCCAGCCTGGCTTCCTCTCCCCCTCCCCAGGTAGGGTCTGGGACAGAGAGAGGACTGGAAAGGTTCATGCTCCTGCCTTGCCCTGGGCTAACCCCTGGCCCTTGCTCCAGTTGGGGTGCCGGGCTTTTGGCACTCCTCTCTCCCAGAGCTTTGCGCGGGTGGGGTGGGCGGGGGTGGGCTGTGGTTTCCTGTGTTGGCTGTTTGTGCCTGGCCCAGAGTGCCCGCCGCCTGCCTGGCTTCCTGCCCTGTCTTGTTTCCTTGTGCCCCCCACCCTCTCCTCCCCTCCCCACTGTGGGAGGGAGCAGCCAGGGATTGGGCAGCACCTTTGGGAGCACCCCACTGCCAGGGGATGACCACTTCCTGAGCACTGGCCACACTGGCACTGGCTGAAGGGGCCAAGTGAGGTGACCTCAGGCTTGTCCAGGCAATGCCACTTGTCCCTTCGGCCTCCAGAAGGGACAGTGGGCACTAGAATGGGCAGAATCCCCCCCAGAAGCACCCTGTTCAAAGACCTCAGACCAGAAAGGTCTGGGGCCAGGAGTTTCCATGTCCCTGCAGAGTTGGGGTTGCCTGACATTATCCTGGGGCTGCAGGTGGGGTGGGGCTGGAAACTCCCAGACAAAAATGGTTCATTTGCATGGTCTCCTTTGTGGGGGGGGGGGGGGTGCGGGGAGTGGGGCAAGCTGCTAGTAACCAGGGTGAGAGGGGAAGGCCCCCTGAGCCTGGAAGTCCCCACATAGAGGGTCCTACAGCAATACCTTGTTCCTTGCACAGATTTCCTGCTGGGCTATGAATCCTTGACTTCCCCACCCGGCTGAGTCACCACCACCTCAGGAAGAGGAAGTGACCTGGGTGGTAGAGGAAAGCTTCTAGGGACCAAGGAGTCCTGACACCCAGGAGAAAGGGGACCTTGTTGTCTTGGGGGCTGCATCTCCCTAAGCCAGGGGCCAAGGACCCCACCCCTGTTGCTCCCAGTAGGGCCATGTCCTTTCAGCCATCACAGAGGATCCTAGTAGCCCATTTCCTCTCCAGAGGTGTCTGCCCAAAGTATGAGAGCACCAACCCTCCCAGGAGTTTTCGCACTCCCTCTTTTAGGTGGGTCTGAGCTAGGCAAGGAGACTGACTTGGTGGACAGGCTGGTGAACCAAGCAGAAGCTCCCAAGGCGGGGGCAGCTGCAAATAGGCAGGTTGCCACTGGTGTGGGAATGCCCATTGGACCTGTGGCAGTTCTGTGTTGAGCAAGGAGCTAGTATGCTACACCTGGAGGCCCTGGGCATCCAGGGAAACCTTGCTGGTTTCCCTCCCCCAGGCAGGGTCAGGTGCACTGTCACCCTTAGGCCACTGGCTCTCCCAACCCCAAGTTGCACGGGGAGGGCAAAAGATCTCAGGCTCTTTGTTTCTGCTGCCTCCTGGGCTCCGTTCTCACATTCTCAGGGGTATGCTCCTGGCCTTTCACTCAGGTGACTTGCACCTGCTCCCTATTTGTGAGCACATGTCACCACTCCCCACCCTACCCCCTAAGAGGGAACCACAGCGCCCTGTTCTCAGAGCACACCCCAACCCCCCCCCCCCCCCCCCCCCCCCCCCCCCCCCGCAGGGGCTCCTGGCCTGGGGCTGGGAAGCCCTCTTCACTCATTGTTTGTTTAAAAACTTCACCCACGGGGAATCAGCCCTCCTGCCCCCCACCCCTTCCAGGCCTCTTCTGGGGCTGTGTGTAGAGGAGGAGGGGTCTCTGGGAGCTGGGGCCAACTCCTGAGGGGTAAAGGGGGGAGGTGTGAGATGGGAAACTCCTGACTCATCCGTGCTTGACTCAGCTTGCCCTGCGGCTGGGTGGGAGCGAGGGGGTGGAGTCCTAGAGGGGAGGGCAACTCCAAGATTCTTCTGGGGAGGAGCCTTGGCCTGACTGGGGACACTGGAGAGGAATAATTTTCCCCTTCTCAAATTATTACAGGTCCCAATATTTGAATTGTAAACATGGGAGGTAGTGGGTGACCCTTGCCCTGCCCCCCATAGGGAGGCGGCCTGTGCAGGCAAGTGGGAAGCCCACCTATCTAGTGCAGGCTTAGAGGAGCAGTCGTGACGCAGAGGGGAGGACACTACAGTGTAGAGGAAACAGGCAGCTATGGGGTCTTGGGGCTGTGGCGAACTGGCCACGTGACCCAGGGCAAATCACCTTCTTTTCCCAGACCTCAGTTTCCTCATTGTGAAATGGGGAGAAGAATACTTTCCGGGTAGGTGGCAGGTAGTTTTGAGGATCAATGGGGTGGGGAGGGGGTGAGCCTAAGACCCAAGTCAGCCAGAGGCCTGGCCCGGCCGCCTGCAGCCCTTCCCCGCCTCAGCTCTAACCGATTGTGATGCAGAGATGGGGGCTGGCAGCCGGCTGCTTCCCAGCCAGGCCCTGGACTTTGGAACCTTCCCCTGAGGAGCCTCCCTCCCCAGAGACAGAGCTGGAGCAGGGAAGGCCAATGTGCCGCGGGCTGAAGTTAGGGTTAGACTCCCGCAGGGTCACGGCTGGGGGCCCCTTCACCCCCACGTCCCAGCCCAGCCTGCAGCAGCCCGGCAGGGAGCAGCGGGAGTGTGCGCTAGTGTCTGGCTGGCCCTGTCACCGGGACAAGGCTCTCGGTCCAAGACTCCTCCGCTCCTCCACCCCTTACCGGGATCGGCTGGGGGGTGGCAGGGCAGGGGGCGGCTGGGTGAGGCTTCTGTGTTTGTGTGAGTCTGTTTGTTGGTGGTGTATCTATGGCCCTGTGTGTTTCTCTGTGACTACCAGGCTCAACTTTCTATGGCTCCCTTGTGCCCGGGCCTCAGTCTTTTCGTCTGTTCAATGAGCCGGCGCGCTCGCCCTCTGCCCCGGCAGCCCGGTGTGCGCGGGTGCCCCGGGCTGTTTCCGCCGCTCCTGCCCCGGCCAGCGCACCTCCGGGGGCCGCCGGGAGCGCGCCTCCAGGGTCCTGGGCTCCGTGCGTGTCTTTGTCTCCCCGTCCACGTGTGAGCTGTGAGTGTGTGAGACTCAGAGTTCGGGCGCTGGGCCCCGAGCCCGGCGCGCCCGGCCCCTCGCGCCCGCCGCGGCGTGTCCGTCGGGCGGCGCGTGCGGCCGCCGGCTCCCGCTCCCCGCCTGCCGCTCCCTGGCTAGCTCGCTCGCTCGCTCGCTCGCTCTGCCTCTCCGCTCGGGCGCTGCCGGAGGGGGCGGGGGTGGGGTGCGGGGCGGGGGAGGGGAGGCTCCTGCATTCTTGCGGTCGGGGAGGAATCCGAGCCAGCGTTACTGGTCTCCAGAAGAGCCCAGCTGCAGCCCCGGGGCCCCGCCAGGCCTCTCGCTGCCCGCCCGGGCCTGCTGGGATGGGCACGGGCTAGGCCTCGAGCCGGGGGCGGGGCGGGGCACGGCCCCCACCGCGGCCTCCTCCACGCGGGGGGCGCCCCGGGCGGGGCGGCGCGCAGCGCTGGGAGCGGGGCGTGAGGGGTTCCCCACCCCGAGTGAGGGGCGTGCCTGGGAGCGGGAGTCCCCCGGGGGGCCAGAGCAGACCTCACGGCCGCCCCACGCGGGCACCTTTGCAACTATCCTTTTAGTGAACTCTGCTTCTGCGGCCCGGGGGCCTTGCTAGAGACCGCAGGCTCCCTGAGGGTAAGGTGCGGGAGGGATGGGGACAGGAACGGCCTCTCGGATGAGACCCCACCTAGTAGTCCTTCCTTTCCATTCCCACCCTACCCTATCCAGTTCCCTAGTCCCAGGGCTGTCGGGTCCTCCCTTCTCCCCTCCCCTTCCTACACCCCCTCCCCAAGTCACAAGTTTTCTCTTTGGGGCTTGTTGCTGCAGTCCGTGCTCCAGTACCGAGTACCTGGCTGGGCCCTGGGCACGCACAGGGGCCGTAGCCCCACTGTGTGTGGGAGCCATGAGGATCCTGGCTAACAAGACAAGGTGTGTGGGTGTCGTGGAGGGCGGGATGTGTGTGTGTGGAGTGTGGGGAAGGGAAGGGCCCAGTGGTGATAGGGCTGAGCTGTGCTGGCTTGGAGAGTGAGCTGCCCTGGGCACCTGGCTTCCAGGCCACTGGTGGCTAAAGGGGTGTCAGAATGGGAAGGCCTGCCCCAAGCAGGAGCCCACAGCCTTAGTGCCTGGGGACAGAGGAATGGCAACCAGCTATGCCTGCTGTTCTAGTCCCTTCTAGCCCTTTCCTCTTAAAAATGGCTTGAGCAGATCCCCACCCACCTCACTGTCGGCCCTCTGTCAGGCCCACCGTTGGGCACACTGAGGCCCTCTGGCCTCAGTCTAGCTGAGGGTGGGCCCTAGAAGGAGGGGCGGTGCCTGCCTCCCTCTCCTTCCCCAGGAGAAGCCGGCAGACAGGGCCAGGCGGCAGCAGCAGGACAGCAGAGCTGAAATAAATCTGAGCTGGTGTGGAATGAGGGGGGATAAATATCCTCTCCCGTGATGTGATCTTTCCAGCGGCTATTAATAGGTCTCCGGGGAGGGGGAGGTGGTGGGGGGAGCAGGCTGGAGCTTAAAGGGCCCGCAGCCTAGGCTGCAGGAATCCTTGGCTTGGAGCTGCACTCCAGTTTGTTCCACACACCACTCGCCTCCCCCCCTTCCTCCTGCTCCTGCCTGCCCGCCAGGCCTGCCGGTGGACCCTCTCCAGGCTTTCCCCTCCTGCTCTTGGAGCTGTCTGGACTAGTGGGTACCACTCTCTGATGTGCTTTTCCCCACTTCCCCAAGGGAATGGGGCTGGGGCATGAGCAGTGACCCTCAGGTCCTGTGCCCCTTCCCTGCTGGTGTTGGAACACGTGAAAGTTGAGGTTGGGGACCTTGGAAGGAGTTTGAAGAGAGCAAACCTTAGCAGAGAGGATGCTTAAGTGTTGGTCAGGTGCTAGCAGAGAAGGGTTGCCATGGAGGCTTGAAGTCTGAAGGATGCTGGGCCTGGGGGCGGGGTGGATTCTGCCACTGCAAGGCCCCTGATTTTCATTTGAGTTGTGGGGGCCGGGGAGTGGAGGGGGTTGCCCCATCTTCACTCCCCAAGGTAGAGCATCAGCTCTTGTCTGAGGAGCCATAGAGGGAGGTAGGGAATAGCTGGTGGTCTTAAGATGCCACTCAGCCCCTACCTCCCCCACCATTAGGTGAAGCAGAACAGGGCAGTTAAAATCCAGGCCTACTAAACCCCTAGCAAGGTTAACTTTTCATGTCTCTTCCACCTTCTCCCAGGTTACCCCACCCCAGGAGGAGAGAAGCTCCAGGGAGCCCGCCGCTGTCCCCCCGCGGCCACTGCCCCCCTGCCCCAGCCAAGCCAATGCACCCAGAAAATAAGTTGACCAATCATGGCAAGACAGGGAATGGCGGGGCCCAATCCCAGCACCAGAATGTGAACCAAGGACCCACCTGCAACCTGGGCTCGAAGGGCGTGGGGGCGGGGAACCATGGGGCCAAGGCCAACCAGATCTCACCTAGCAACTCAAGTCTGAAGAACCCCCAGGCAGGGGTGCCCCCTTTCAGCTCGCTCAAGGGCAAAGTGAAGAGGGAGCGGAGCGTGTCTGTGGACTCTGGAGAGCAGCGAGAGGCTGGGACCCCATCCCTGGATTCAGAGGCCAAAGGTACTCATGCCCTGATCCCCACGACCCCAGCATCTTCCACAATCCAAAGCCCAAAACTGCTGAGAGACCATCTTTCTGCCCACCTCGCCTAATCCTCCTCCCCTGCTCCTCTCCAGCATTTATGCAGGAGCACCTTTCTTTTACTTCCTTTCTATCCACCAACCTGGTCATTCTCTCAAGATTGGGGTTGCCCAGGGTAGAGATTTCTCATCCTTAGGTGCCACCCATGGAAGGCCCACACAGAGTGATGGGGCTTATGGTCAGTCTCCTTCCTGTCCTGCTTTCCCACCAGAGCCCCCAGGGAGAGGGAGGTGCTCTAGGTGAGGAGCAGACCCGCTCACCTCCCAGGAACCTCCGGGTATCCCAGCTGGTGGGAGCTGTTGAGCAGGCACTGGGGCCTGGAAGAGTAGCAGCGGCTTCCCCCTCCCCCCCCCCCCAGCCCTAATTAGAACCAGTTGTGGTTGGGGATTATGCTGTGCTTGGTGCTGGGTGGGGGAGGGGAAACAGGCAGCAGGGCTATAGAGAGAAATCAGAAACAAATGGTGGTGTGGTGGGGACCAAAGGCTGGCAAAGTGCCCACCATGGCCTGGGCAATGCCCTCTGGGATGGGCATCTGGGAGAATGGTCCTGGGAGGGACCCTGCGTGTGTGAGGACAGGGCCTCTGGATACTCACTCTGACCCCTGCCTGCCTCCGTCCTGCCTGGGCAGAGGTGGCACCCCGGAGCAAGCGGCGTTGTGTGCTGGAGCGGAAGCAGCCATACAGTGGGGACGAATGGTGCTCAGGACCAGACAGCGAGGAGGACGACAAGCCCATTGGGGCCACCCACAGTGAGTGCTCACCGATGCCAGGATGCTGTGGCCCATGGTGCTCCCAGGGGATGGCTGCCCTGAGGGAGCCTCCCACTCCTTACCTAGGGCTTTGGAAGGCTGGGGGCAAGGAGCAAGGTCAAGAGCCCAGGCTCCTTCTCTCCCAGCCCATCTCTCAGACTCAGTCCCTCCCTGCACTGTGACAGCCCAGCCCCTGCCTTCCAGGTGCTCAGTGTCCCCCCATCCCCCTCTCCCTAGGGACCCAGGTGGGCTGGGTGAACCTCAGGTGGCCTCTCCTGGCCACACCAGCTTCACCTCCTCCCATGAATTCCTGGCCTATGCTGCCACCTACTGGTCAGTGGAGGGAGGGCAGCAAGGATCTAGCATCACTGGGAGCCGGACAGTTGGCTCTGCCTTGCAAAAATGTGCTAAGCCTGGGTGTGAACTGACGCTGGCTGTCTCTGGTGCCCTTCCCCTAACCTGTAATTGACTCGTGGCAAGTGCATGGAGTGTGTCACCAGGATGAGGAGTGGGTATGGGTGGACACCCTCTGCTCTCATCATGATCAGCGTGCATGTAGGCCTCATGCAAGTGATGGGGGAGAACCAGATATGCATCTGCCCTTGGGAAGCCCATACAAATTTATTTGGTGCTTTCTCTCAAAGCTTACATGTGTCTTGGGGGAGAAACAACTTAATGCATAAGAAACTAGTCAGAGAATGTTGAACTAGGAACTTCTTGAAGCCAGGGACCATAGAAAGAAGGAAGAAAAAACTACGCTGGCTAGTTTGCTGCTTTGTTTTATTTAATCCTTACCCCAGCCCTGTGAGGTAGGTGTTATTGTGGTGCCCATTGCAGAGGAGGAAACAGACTCAGCAGGTGTTTGTGGAATGAGTGGACCGTGTCTGTGGAGGTGGTGCATGGGACCAAATACCAAAGCTTCTGCAGCTGGCTGGGACTTCAAACGTCATCTGGTCCTAGGTTCCCCCCAGGAGACTGACTGGTGGTCCACCAGCCCCTGGCTGAACCCTTCAGTGATAGATGGGGGATGGTCACTGCCTCCTAGGACAGACTCTCCCCCCCTCCAATTCACTTTTATAACATGAGGCTGCGCCATTGTAGAAATATTGGAAGACATGGAGAACTACAAAGAAGAAATTGCTGGGGCTGGCCTGGTGGCACAGCGGTTAAGTGCGCATGTTCTGCTTCGGTGGCCTGGGGTTCGCCAGTTCGGATCCTGGGTGCAGACGTGGCACCACTTGGCACACCATGCTGTGGTAGGCGTCCCGCATATAAAGTAGAGGAAGATGGGCATGGATGTTAGCTCAGGGCCAGGCTTCCTCAGCAAAAAGAGGAGGATTGGCAGCAGTTAGCTCAGGGCTAATCTTCCTCAAAAAAAAAGAAGAATTTGCTAACCTCCTATACTCAATGCCGAGGCAATCATTGTGATTATTTTAATTGTTCTACCGTTAGATTCTCAAAGACTTCTTAATGTGGGCAGGATAATAGAGGTGAAGAGCACAGACTCTGCAGTCAGACCACCTTGGTTTATGTCCTGAGTCCTCTGCTTATTATTTGTGTAAATTTGGGGAAGAACCTCAGTTTCCGCATCTATAAAAGTAATATTTACCTCATAGGGTTGGTGTGAGGAGTAAATGAATTGCCACATGTAACATACTTAGGACAGTACGTTAGCTTTTATTATTGTTCTTATTGTACTAGAAAGTTCCTTATTGGAATAAAATGTGCCTCCCTCCCCATAACTTGTCCCCAGGAGTCCTAGCTCTGTGTGCGCCTTCCTTTTCCCAAGGGCAGCCCTCACACACTGAGGTTAGCTCTCAAGTCCCCCTCAAACTTTTGGGTCTGTTATTCTATGTAAAATTGGAGAGACAAGGGCCAGAGCAGGGCCACTAGGAAGTAGGATTGTCAGAGGAGATTTATCCGAGGAGGGCAGCCTCACGCTGGGTCCCGGGGGGATGGTGGCCGCTGCCCTGGCTCAAAGGAGGCAACCTCAGGCGGTTCACCTACTACGAACTGAGAGTGCTGGCACCCACTGTCTGCAGGCCAAGCAGCTTAGACTTGGTTTTCCTGGCATGGGAATGGGTCAACCCACTCCCCTAGACCCAACAATGACCAACTGCAGCTCTTTGCTAGGCTAGGTCTTAGAGTCAGGCTTGTGACTGTGGAACAAAACTTCTCTTGGTGCTAAGGGTGGCCAGTCTTCCCTGGGAGTGACCCCAGTTTGTCAGCCTTTTCTAACTCTCTCTGTTTTCCAAACAATTTTTTAGTTTGTGACCTGGTTCTCAACTTTCTGTATAAGTAGATTTCTCTGACCTGCCCCCTTGCAGAGCAGGAGTTAGTGTTTCCATTTTACAGGTAGAAGAACTGAGGCTTAGAAGGACAACGTGTCTTATTCATAAGGTCGCCAAGTCAGTCAGTGGTGGGGCTAGAATGAAAGCCACTCAGTGTTTGAATCGTCGATTTGTGCAGCCTCTTTGCCTTCTCCCTTTACCTGGTCAATGTGCGTCTGCACGTACACACACACACACACACGCACACACAGACCATAGCGGGAGGGGTCAGAGCAGGGCTAAGAGCAGGGCTTTGCAGTCCCTGCCTGGGTTCAAAGACTGGCTCTGCGCTGACAGGCTGTGACACCTTGGGTGAGTAACTTCATCCCTCCAAGGATCGGTTTCCTCCTCTGTAAGGTGGAGTGTGTGACACCTTCCTCCCAGGGATGTGGTGATCAGATGCAATCGCATCTATAAGTGTCCATCAGAATGCTGGGCGCATGGGAGCCTGGTTTGTCTGGGTCACATTTTCCCTCTCCCTCCTCTCCACGTAGTTACCATGATTTCCTTCCTGGTTAGAGACTGGTCTAGGGCAAGTAAGTGTGGAAACCACACTAGTGAAAACACCAGATTGTGGCAATGGGTGACCCTGTGGGCATGAGCTATAAAACAGTGAGTCTCTGTGTCCCTGGGCATCTCTGGAGGGGGCAGTGGGGGGGCGGGGCAGCTGCTTACCCACTTTCTCTCCCCTCTCTCACGCAGATTGTAATGTAGCAGAGCCAGGCATGGCGGCCCCACAGCTGGGTCCCAGCCAAGCCGCCCAACTGCCCCTCAGTGAGAGCAGTGCACCAGGCCCCCCGCATGGGCCCCCTCCAGGCCTTCGGTCTGATGCCCCCGGAGGTGGGGGCGGGGGTGTCCCTGGAAAGCCTCCCTCACAGTTTGTGTACGTCTTCACCACCCACCTGGCCAACACGTAAGTGCCTCAGGGGAGGTCAATCCTGCTCGTCTACCCAGCATCCCTCAGCCTGGGGGCCTGAGTGAGCGTGTGTAGGGGGGCCAGGGTTGGGTTGCATTGGATGAGGGCAAGGGCTCCCTCCTGCCCACCTCTCTGAGCTGTTTGTGCCCAATCCTCCGGTGCAGGGCCGCAGAGGCAGTGCTGCAGGGCCGGGCCGATTCCATCCTTGCCTACCATCAGCAGAACGTGCCCCGGGCCAAGCTTGACCAGGTGAGTGTGGAGCCTGGCCCAGGTCTGGCGCCTCTGTGAATAGCCGAATTGGCTGATGCATCCCCTTACCTGTCTCACTCTGCCTTTGTTCTCTTGCAGGCCCCGAAAGTGCCACCCACCCCAGAACCGCTACCCCTGAGCACACCGTCAGCAGGCACCCCGCAGTCCCAGCCGCCTACTCTGCCGCCACCACCACCCCCAGCCCCTGGCAGTGCCCCACCTGCTCTGCCTTCAGAGGGGCCTCCTGAGGACACCAATCAGGACCTGACGCCTAACTCAGTGGGAGCTGCCAGCACGGGTGGTGGGACAGCGGGCACCCACCCTAACACCCCTACGGCTGCCACCACCAACAACCCACTGCCTCCTGGAGGAGACCCCAGCAGTGCCCCTGGCCCTGCCCTGATAGGGGAGACAGCTCCCTCAGGAAATGGGCAGCGGAGCCTCGTGGGCTCTGAGGGCCTGTCTAAGGAGCAGCTGGAGCATCGGGAGCGTTCCCTCCAGACCCTGCGAGACATCGAGCGGCTGTTGCTCCGCAGCGGGGAGACCGAGCCCTTCCTCAAGGGGCCCCCGGGAGGAGCAGGTGAGGGGGGACCACCAGCACAAGCCCCTCCTGCCCCCCAGCAGCCACCTGTGGCCCCTCCCGGTGGGCTGAAGAAGTACGAAGAGCCCTTGCAGTCCATGATTTCGCAGACACAGAGCCTAGGGGGTCCCCCGCTGGAGCATGAAGTGCCTGGGCACCCCCCAGGTGAGGACATGGGACAGCAGATGAACCTGATGATGCAGAGGCTGGGCCAGGACAGCCTGACGCCTGAGCAAGTGGCCTGGCGCAAGCTGCAGGAAGAGTACTACGAGGAGAAACGGCGGAAGGAGGAGCAGATTGGGCTGCACGGGGGCCGCCCTCTGCAGGACATGATGGGCATGGGGGGCATGATGGTGAGGGGGCCGCCCCCTCCCTACCACAGCAAGCCTGGGGATCAGTGGCCACCTGGAATGGGTGCACAGCTGCGGGGGCCCATGGATGTCCAAGATCCCATGCAGCTCCGGGGCGGACCTCCCTTCCCTGGCCCTCGTTTCCCAGGCAACCAGATGCAACGGGTACCTGGGTTTGGAGGCATGCAGGGTATGCCCATGGAGGTGCCCATGAATACCATGCAAAGGCCTGTGAGGCCGGGCATGGGCTGGACTGAAGATTTGCCCCCCATGGGGGGGCCTAGCAATTTTGCCCAGAATGCTGTGCCCTACCCAGGTGGGCAGGGTGAAGCAGAGCGATTCATGACTCCTCGGGTTCGAGAGGAGCTGCTGCGGCACCAGCTGCTGGAAAAGCGGTCGATGGGCATGCAGCGCCCCCTGGGCATGGCAGGCAGTGGCCTGGGGCAGGGCATGGAGATGGAGCGGATGATGCAGGCGCACCGGCAGATGGATCCGGCCATGTTCCCCGGGCAGATGGCTGGTGGCGAGGGCCTGGCGGGCACTCCCATGGGCATGGAGTTCGGTGGAGGTCGGGGCCTTCTAAGTCCCCCCATGGGGCAGTCTGGGCTGAGGGAGGTGGACCCACCCATGGGGCCAGGCAACCTCAACATGAACATGAATGTGAACATGAACATGAACATGAACCTGAATGTGCAGATGACCCCGCAGCAGCAGATGCTGATGTCACAGAAGATGCGAGGCCCTGGGGACATGATGGGGCCACAGGGCCTCAGTCCTGAGGAGATGGCCCGGGTGCGGGCCCAGAACAGCAGTGGCATGATGGGTGGCCCGCAGAAGATGCTTATGCCTTCACAGTTTCCTAACCAGGGCCAGCAGGGATTCTCTGGGGGCCAGGGACCCTACCAAGCCATGCCCCAGGACATGGGCAATACCCAAGACATGTTCAGCCCTGACCAGAGCTCAATGCCCATGGGCAATGTGGGCACCACTCGGCTCAGCCACATGCCTCTGCCTCCTGCATCCAATCCTCCTCCCGGGTCTGTGCATTCAGCCCCAAACCGGGGGCTGGGCAGACGGCCTTCAGACCTCACCATCAGTATTAATCAGATGGGCTCGCCAGGCATGGGGCATCTGAAATCGCCCACCCTTAGCCAGGTGCACTCACCCCTGGTCACCTCGCCCTCCGCCAACCTCAAGTCACCCCAGACTCCCTCACAGATGGTGCCCTTGCCTTCGGCCAACCCGCCAGGACCTCTCAAGTCGCCCCAGGTCCTCAGCTCCTCCCTCAGTGTCCGTTCACCCACTGGCTCACCCAGCAGGCTCAAGTCTCCCTCCATGGCGGTGCCTTCTCCAGGTTGGGTTGCCTCACCCAAGACAGCCATGCCCAGCCCTGGGGTCCCCCAGAACAAGCAGCCGCCTCTCAACATGAACTCTTCCACCACCCTGGGCAGTATGGAACAGAGTGAGTCAGCTGGGCCGGGCAAGGGGGCATTGGACTGGGGCATTGGGAGCCTCCCAGGTTGGTGTCTTCATGCTGGGGCAGGGGCATGAGTTAAGGCATCACAGTACCAGGACCCAGAGGTGGCTGGCTCTGCTTGAGGGGCAGATGTTGGCAGCTGTGAGTGGGCTCTCACGGGACACCATGTTAATCTCAGACGCATTTTAAGGGGGTCATACTTGGGATCTCCGCACTGCCTGGGGCACTGAGGTTGCAGGAGTTGCTTGCAAATGGGTGGGCTGTAGTGTTAATGAGGGACCTGTGTTGAGTAGGACATCTCAGTAGAGGTCTGCCTGGAAGAGTCAGGTGGAGATCTGGGAGGTGACTTTTTCTAAACCCCCAATGTGAGCAGCCAATTCATCTTCCCCTCCCAGTCACCCTCTGCTTTTTCTGTCTCCCCCCTTCTGTAGGTGCCCTCCCGCCTAGCGGCCCCCGGAGCAGCAACTCAGCGCCTCCCGCCAACCCTCCCAGTGGCCTCATGAACCCCAGCCTGCCATTCACTTCCTCCCCAGACCCCACGCCTTCCCAGAACCCCCTGTCACTGATGATGTCCCAGATGTCCAAGTATGCCATGCCCAGCTCCACCCCACTCTACCACAATGCCATCAAGACCATCGCCACCTCAGATGACGAGCTGCTGCCCGACCGGCCCCTGCTACCCCCGCCACCACCACCGCAGGGCTCTGGGCCAGGTGCGAGGACAGGAAGGGGGCCACAGGGAGAAGAGCTGATGTGGGCATTGGGAATGGGAAGAGTTGCCATGGCCAGCAATTGCCCCTGTGGTCATGCTGGCTTGTATGTGCTTCCAGAGGGCCCTGGGAGTGGGGTGTGATGTCCTGGGACACAGTTCTCGCTTGTAGTCACTTAGTGAAACCAAGCCCAGAGCACTTGAGTGGTTTTTCGAACATCCAATGATGTGTCCATGGCAAACTGGGCCAGAACTCGGATCTCTTGGCTTCTAACCTAAATGCCTCAAGTCCCTTCCCTCGCAGCCAGCAGAGGCCGATGGTGAAAGCCCTCACCCCTGGCACCAGCCTGGCTGGGGACAGGGGACGGACTCAGTTCTGCACTCTCCCCCAGCTGGGGGCACACAATTCCTGACCCCCTTTCCATCTTTCCCCACAGGGATCAGCAATAACCAGCCCAACCAGATGCACCTGAACTCAGCTGCTGCCCAGAGTCCCATGGGCATGAACCTGCCAGGCCAGCAGCCCCTGTCCCATGAGCCCCCGCCTGCCATGTTGCCCTCCCCCACCCCTTTGGGCTCCAACATTCCACTGCACCCCAATGCGCAGGGGACAGGAGGACCCCCTCAAAACTCGATGATCATGGCTCCAGGGGGCCCAGACTCCCTGAATGCCCCCTGTGGCCCTGTGCCCAGCTCCTCCCAGATGATGCCCTTCCCCCCTCGGCTGCAGCAGCCCCATGGTGCCATGGCTCCCAGTGGGGGTGCGGGCGCTGGGCCTGGCCTGCAGCAGCACTATCCTTCAGGTATGCCCCTGCCCCCAGAGGACCTGCCCAGCCAGCCGCCAGGCCCCATGCCCCCCCAGCAGCACCTGATGGGCAAAACCATGGCAGGGCGCATGGGCGATGCATACCCACCAGGCGTGCTTCCTGGGGTGGCATCAGTGCTGAACGACCCCGAGCTGAGCGAGGTGATCCGGCCCACCCCGACGGGGATCCCTGAGTTCGACTTGTCGAGGATCATCCTCTCTGAGAAGCCAAGCAGCACACTCCAGTACATCCCCAAGAGCGAGAACCAGCCCCCTAAGGCCCAGCCCCCCAATCTGCATCTCATGAACCTGCAGAATATGATGGCGGAGCAGACTCCCTCCCGGCCCCCCAACCTCCCGGGCCAGCAGGGTGTCCAGCGGGGGCTCAACATGTCCATGTGCCACCCGGGACAGATGTCCTTGCTGGGCAGGACAGGTGTGCCCCCACAGCAGGGCATGGTGCCCCACGGCCTGCACCAGGGGGTCATGTCCCCTCCACAAGGCCTCATGACCCAGCAGAATTTCATGCTGATGAAGCAACGGGGTGTGGGGGGTGAGGTCTACAGCCAGCCCCCCCACATGCTCTCCCCACAGGGCTCCCTCATGGGCCCCCCGCCCCAGCAGAACCTCATGGTGTCCCACCCCCTGCGGCAGCGCAGTGTGTCTCTGGACAGCCAGATGGGCTACCTCCCAACGCCGGGCAGCATGGCCAACCTGCCCTTCTAGCAGTCCCCGTTTGGGGCTGGAGCTGGGGCAACATTGCAAATATGATAACCTTAAAAAAGTTTCTTCCCCTCCAGTGTTGGGATGGCCTGGGTCAAGGGGTGGGGTGGACGGGGTGGGAGGGGCTTGTGTGGGGAGTGGCATTTGTGGAAACCAGATGTGCTGGCAGCTTTGGGGGAAGTGGCAGAGTTGGGGGGTGGGGATTTTGGATTGCTGTTTGTTCCATTTCGGCCACCACAACTGCCCCCTCCCTGGCTCCTCCCAATCCTATGGAGCCTCTATTTTCCTTCCTTCTTTGCACCCACCGTCATTCAGCTATGCTTCAGGAGTCCTGTGTGGAATCCTTGGGGGAGAGAGGAAGGAAAGATGTCCCCCTCCCGTCCCTTTCCTTTCTGCTGCTGTCTCCTATCTCTTCATTGCTCCCGCGTCACTTTCCTCCTCTTGATTTTTCTGCTCCTGCGTTCTTCCTTCTGTCTTTTCCTGCCTCATTTCCTCTCCCTGCTGATGTGGCTGACCCCTCTCCCACCCTTCCCTGCAGGCGGCTGGCCAGGTGGGCAGGTGCCAGCCGTAGCTGTAAATAGAGCGCTGCGCTTTTGTGCCGGTTTGTGCGTGTGCTGTATTTCTGTGTTTTGATAGAAGTCACACAAAAAAAAAGGATAAAAGAAACCTTTCCCCCCTTTTTCAAATTATTGCCCCTTTCCATTCCCCTGGACCCAGGAACATGCAGTACAGCACACCCACCCACTGTTCACGGTGTCCCTGGGTCCATAAAGGATACCATTCCAGCCCCCTCGCCAAATGGTGAAATGACAGATGCCCCACCACTAAACTGAGGTCAGACTACCTGGGCTTCCACCTGGAGAGCCCCAGCATGCTGAGACCCCCAGGCTGGCAGCCTGTCTGCTGCTGAGTGATCCAGGAGAACACGTGCACATGCATGCGTGTTTGCCCCACACAGGTAACATGGGGCCTTGGCTTCCCAGCTGTGGATGTCTAGGGTCCCCTGCTGCTACATCTTAGCCAGAACTTGAAGTCCTTGGTCCCCAGTCTGGGATGAAGGAAAGGAGGAAGAGGTGGAGGCTGTGTGGCCCCCTTGAGTGGAGCCATGGAGGAGTGACAGGGTGGCCCAGATGGCCCTGGGCCAGGTAACCCCCAGGGCCCTGACTCTTCCAGAGGCTGCCACCAGCTGCTTCTGCCCAAAGGAGGAAGGAAAAGGGTTTGGTTGAGTCGGTCTGTCTCCCTCCAGCCTCCACCCCTGAGGATGGAATAGAGAAGGTGTTGGACAGGGAGCAGGAGAGTGTCCTACCACCTCCTTTCTGCCTGCCTACTTACTGGCAAGGACCCTCTGCCCAGGGCTCAGGGCTCTTTGCCCACCCAGGCGCAGCCACTGCCTCTCCCTCAGTCCCCTGCTCTTCCCCAGAAGAGCTCCCCAATGCCTCTGGTGAGAGCTGAAGCCATACACGACTGAGTGTTTTGCCCCCCCTCGGCCCCAGGAGTAAACACTTCTCCTTTTCTCACTTCCTTTCCTGCCTTGTGAGGTGGCAAGGCAGTTCCCTGGCTGAGGCCTTTTACGCCCCGCCTCCAGGGCCCAGGGCCATTTCTAGACAAAGTGTCTTCTGCCATGGCCCCGTCCCCAGCCTTCCTGATCTGCAGGGCCTGGTCTCGCGTTGGCAGCTGTGAAACAAAGGGAATTTGCCCCCACTTCTCCCAGTCTGGTGCTGTCCTCAGTCCACCGTCAGCCAGGTCAAGCGCTTCCTCCAGGGCTGGCCGCAGGCTCCTGCCCCCCCAGCACCTCCCAGGGGCCAGGGCCCGGCCTCTGTTCACAGGCCACCTGCCCTCCATCCTGCCAGGCACTTTGCCTGCCCTGCCTCAACCTGGGCCCTGTGCCCATGAGCCCCCCACCCCTGACCCAAGACTCCCCAAACTGACTGTTTCCTGCCCAGAGGAGAAGGGTCAGAATGCCAAGCACCCAGTGGCCTCCCCATTCTCCTCCCTCCTCCGCCATCAGACTAGCTTTCCAAGGTGAACTCCACAGGCCAGCCTACTTCTTCCCTCCATCCATGGCCATAACCCCAGCCATTTTGTACCATTATATAAATATATATATATAAATATAAATATATAAATACAATATGTGAAGACATCTTTTCGGTTTTTATTTTGAAACAATTTTTAGGCTTGTTCCGGGGGTCTCTGTGCTGCCTGTACTGTATTGACCTGTTTTATAGGTGCCTTTTTATTAAAAAGAGAAAATTAAAAATCAAGCCTTTTGCCTTGTTACTTCCGTGTCTGGCTTCTCCACTGCCCAGCTTACCACTGGATGCTAGGAGAAAAAAGGGGGGCTCCAGGGTTTCCCCATTGTTCCACGTGAAGACACTGTCCCCTGGTCACAGCTCTGATTCCCCAATGGGGGCCTCCTAGGGAGCTTGGCTGACTGGCTTGAGTGGGACTGAGCAACCCAGAAGTTTCCTCAGCAAGTGCTGGGGTCCCTGTTGTCCCTCCCTAGACAGACAGAGGCTGGGAAGGAGGGAGGGTCAGCCCTCCCGGGCAGGCGGGCGAGCGCAGAGCCGCTTCCTCTGGTTCCATCTGAGTGGTATCCTCTGGGGGCAGGGCCCTGCTTCCTGGGGCCTGGGGACTTCCCTGCCCAGACCTGCTTTTCCGCACCGTCCTTCCTAAGGGGATGCTGCAGCGCTTGCTGAGGCCCAGACAGACTGCGTGCTCTGGGCTTGGCCTGCAGGCAGGGAGCTGGATGAGATGACCCCCTTGGCCCCTGTCAGTCTGTCTTGCTCCTCAGGGGATCTCCATCTCCCTTCTGACTCTTGGCTAAGTGCTCCGTGTGCTACAGTCAAGACGCCTCTGCTGCTTGAGGAGTTTCCCCTGCTGTGTAGTTTGCAGGGATGGGGGCAGGGAGGAGAGAGTCTGCTCCTTCCCCATCAGTGCCCAGGCCCACCAGGGCCCTAGATCTAGCTGTCCCTGGCCCACCCTGGGAGCTCTGTACCCTGCGCAGAGACAACAGCTGGCTTCGGTTTGTACTTGTCCCTCCGTAGGGCTGGGGAAGGGGAATCTTGTCTTGCCCCACTTGGGCTCCTCTCTGCCGGCTTGGCTCTAGTTCTTCCCTGGGACACTGCCTGGTCTCTGAGGGCACCTGAAGTCTGTCCTCAATCTGCAGACCTCCAAGGACCCAGTGACATGGGGCTGACCCAGCACCATTTTGGTCAGAACCAGAGGCAGCTACCTGGACTGGGTCAATCTGACCTTCCTGCTTGGTCAAGATGCTGCAGGCTGGAGGCCTGGCAGAATGTCTGTGTTTTTTAGGGACTGAGACATGTTAAGGCCACACTCTGTTGCCAGCTGGTCTTTCCTCAGCCTTAACCTCCATCCATCCCCTGGTCCTCAGCTTCTAGCTTCTTTCAGCAGGTAGGGTAGGAGGAGAGGTGGGTAGTCGTGGAGGTCAGTGGCCCAAAAGATGATAGAGTGTGTTCTGGAAGGGGATTGACTTTCCCTATTGGCAAGGGCAGAAGTAAAAGTTCTTTCTTGAGCTTTAGATGGTTAAGATGAGAGAAGCTGTGTGGGGTCCTCTCAGCCCAAGGTGATGTAGGCAGGCACAGGTGTCCTTTGCTTTGCCTTTGGGCTGCTTTCGCCTACCTGGACTCCAGCCAAGTCCCAGGGCTGGGAGAAGAGCTGGCAGGGATCTCCTGGAAAGAGGAGTTGGTTCATCTAGCTGCCCCATATGAGGACACTGGCCAAGGTGAGCTCTTAGACTCCCAGATCCTGTTGGAAGGGGTTCCAGCATCACTGCATCCGCCAAGGAAAGCAGAAACAGAGGGGAGCTGGGAGCTAGAAGGTGGTGAGGGAGGTGGCATTCTCTGACTCAGAGAGACTGCTCTTGTGCCAACTAGGCAAGAACTGGCAGAGGGAGGCGGGGCCGGCACAGCCCAGCTTGGTCAGAAGCCGTGACAGGTCACTACGGAACTTCACGCCAACGAAAGTGTAGAGCATGGGATTGAGGCAGCAGTGGGCCAGGCCCAGGAACTCACTCAAGGTGATGGCCACAGAGAGATAGCCATTCTGATCACAGCTATTGACCATGGCCTTCAGCCTCGCCAGGGTGTCCAGGAAGATGATGATGTGGTAGGGTGACCAGCAGAGAAAGAAGACACTCGTCACCAGGATGGCCACCCTGACTGCCTTCTGCCGCTGAGGGCGCCGCTGGGCCTGGCACAGCCTGTGTACCACCCCTACATAACACCACCCCATCACCAGCATTGGCAGCAGGAATCCTCCGATATGGTAGAGGAAGCGGGAGGTGAACCAGGCATTGGTTTCAGCTTGGTTCTCTTGGGAGAAGGTACAGCGGGGCAGAGAGCCATTGTGATGAGGTTGGCTGACCTTGGCGAAGAGAAGCTCTGGCAAGGCGAAGAGGAGGCCCGCCAGCCAAATGGTTATACAGGTGATGTGGATGGAGTGGAGGCGGCGGTGGCGGTAGGTATGGACGGAGTGGACAATGGCCAGGTAGCGGTCCACAGCAATGCAGGCCAGGAGCAGGCTGCTGCAGTAGAAGTTGATCTTGTGCAGAGCGATCACAGTTTTGCAGAGGCCGGTGCCCAGGACCCAGCCCACAAAGCCCTCGGCCACAGCAAAGGGCAGGATGAGGACCAGAAGGAGGTCAGCCAACGCCAGGTGGAACAGGAAGGTCTCGGTGGAGTTGCGTGTTTGCCGGTGCCGCTCCAGGATCACCAGCACCAGGATGTTGCCCATCATACCCAGAAGGAAGATGAGGCCATAGGCCATAGGCATGAACACGGCCTTGAAGGAGGTCAGGAGGGGCCCCTCAACTGTAGAGCAGAGGTGATTTTCCACCACGGGGGGCTCCGAGCTGTCATTGTAGCTGCCCAATTCCTTGTACTGCAGGGGCAAGGAGACAGAAGGGGAAGGAAGTGAGGACCTGGCTTTCCTCTTGGAGAAGGATGCTGAGTCTCCTGTAGATTTTTCCTACCCCCACCCAGAGGCTAACTGCTTTTGTCCCAGCACTCCCAATACATCCCACTGACCCAACCCCACTTTCCATTTGTGTGTCCTTGAGCAAGTCACTTTGCCTTTCCCAACTTCAGTTTTCCTCTATAAAAGGGACCAATTCCTCACCGGGTCGTGACGAAGATGAAAGGAGATACATACTGAGGATATGCTTCGTAAACTCTGAAGGGCTGTGCATCCGTAAGTTATTTTGTGTTTGTGTGTCCTCAGGTACGGAAGGCTGCAGACTCAGGGGCTGGAATCAGGACTTCGTTTTTGGGAATGGAGGTGGTTGGGACAAGGAGCCATCTGTTCCAATTCTGAACAGAACAGTAGGCACTAAAACCCAGGATCTTGCTGAGGGGGCGGATGCTGCAGTGGCCCACTGGCTTCCTCTTGATTTGTTCCTTATTCCTGACTGTCTTCACTATAACTGAAATTGTAGTAATAGCCTCTGTTTTGTTTAATTTGCATGACAGGCTCAAGATATGCAATATGTCTATTTTACTGGTGAGTCCGGCTAAAGATCAGGTCTGCTTGAACCCATATTGATCTAACTGCAGAGCCAATGCTTCCAGCACACGCAGCACTGCCTGGGCTTCCCTCCCTGCTACTTCCCATCACTAGCAAACTCCCTTCTCTGCTGACAGCAAGGAAAGCTTCAGAAGCAGAAAGCCCAGAAGCAGAAGGAAGTGGGGGCGGGGGGTGGGGTGGGGGGAGCCTGTTCCAAGTGAAGGGGATGTGCCCACTCTGTCTCCGGAAGCTCCCTCCTCCCCAGCCTCCTCCTCCCCACCCTTGTCCCCTCCCCACCCCCTAGCACTCAGGTTGTTTACTCAGCTAACCGCAAAGGAAGACACAGTGCCTGTTTTCATACCTTTCACTCACAGCTGTCCCCCTGCACCTGCTCCTCCTCACTTCCCAGCTCTATTCTTCCCACCCCTCCCCAAACCAGATCCCTCCCCACGGCGTTTCAAAACCATTTATAACCAGCTTGTGTGGGTTCGGAAAGATGCTTCCATAAACGATGAGCCTCAGGGAGGGAGAGGATGGGAGATGGTACTCTGCCCCCAGGCTCTGGGTGGTCTCATGCTGCCCTCTTTCCAGGAGATTGAGGGTCTCTCACAAGCAGGGGGTGGATGCACCAGCACCCAGAGGCCCCAGTTGTTGGTCATATGCTCACTCTCAGTGATGGGCAGACCCCTTCCCCAATCTGGGTCTTTCCTTCTGGTCCCTGGGGTAAGAGGTGCTGGGAGAAGGAGATGGGGGTATACATTAGTGCAATGGCAGGTCCATCTGCCCACCCCCCACCCCCAGCAACCTTCTGCCATCACCTCAGTCCAGCCCTTCTTCACCCTAATTCTCAGGACTACTGTCTCCCCCAGGTGCCATTCCTGCCAACTTCTCCACTCTCGTCCATCTGCTACGCAGAGGCCCCACAAATCCCATCACATTACTTTCCTGCATAAAGTCCTTTACTGGTTCTCTGTTACCTATAAGCAGTGGTTTTCTTTTCTGGTTGTCCTTATCTTATTTTTTTCTTCAATGTCATTGAACATTGAATAGCAAAGCCAATTATAAGAAAAAATTCATGTTCATGATCAAGTTCATCAGTAGAAGATGGGAGTAAGCCACGCCAGTGCATTCACTCGACAGAAGGCAATGCCGTGCTCAGAAAGAAATGAGGCCCGTCTGCATGTCCTCTGAGGGGGTGTTTCACCATATTGCTAGATTTCAGAGCCATTTGCAGGGCATCCCATACAGCAAGATTCCATGGACTTTCGTCGCAGGATTCTCCTGGGGCCAGGGCCGGGCAGGGACCAATCCCCCCTCCCTGCCTTTAAACCAGAGCTTTCCACTTTTGTCTCATGTGGTATTTCACACATAAGCTTTTGTTTAAGAAAATGGTTCTGGGGCTGGCCCTGTGGCTGAGTGGTTAAGTTCGTGTGCTCTGCTTAGGCGGCCCAGGGTTTCTCTGGTTCAGATCCTGGGCGCGGACATGGCGCCACTCATCAGGCCATGTTGAGGCGGCGTCCCACATACTCCAACAAGAGGGACCCACAACTAAAAGTATACAACTATGTACTGGGGAGAGTTTGGGGAGAAAAAGCAAAAAAAAAAAAAAAAAAGAGATTCGCAAGTTTTAGCTCAGGTGCCAATCTTTAGGAAAAACAAAAGGTTCTATTTTCATTTGAAAACCATGGACTTGCAGGGTGAGGTCTAAACTCCCCAACAGGGCCTTTAAATTTC